CCCCCTGCCTCTCCTTAAAATGCCAATTCTATGATTCTTTTTTCGGCTGAATGTATGGAGATAATAAAATGGTAGTGAATTTTTAAAGGAAATTAAATAGGAAATGACACATTTCTGAGTAATCACAAAGTGATTTGTAGTAGATCTTGGGTGCTAATTAATATCTTTTGGTTATGGTAGAAAGTTAAAGGCAGTGGGGACATTTGGCTCTCTTCTCCCAGGGCTTGGAGTATGTGGGGATGTGTTTGTTTGTCATAATGTGGGGAAGGGACACGAGCTATGGCATCTGGAAGTGAGAGATGCTGCTACACGCCCTGCAGTGCAAGTGGGAGCCACTGAGACAAAGCACTATCCTGCCCAAAATTCCAGTGGCGCCAGTGATAAAAAACCTTGTTCTGGAATAGTAGAAATGGACTTGAACCCTGCTCTGCAGCTTTGCCAAGTTGTAAATGTGGCCTCATTTGTCAAACTCTAGTTTCTGTTTTGAAAGAATGAAATTTCCAGCCCCATAAAATTAAACAAAACCAAACCCAAAACCTATCTTCAGGGGGTGGTTATGAGACAGCAATCCAAAACCACTTAATATTGATGGGCATATAATGGATCCAATAAATAAAAATGGGTCCAGACTACCAAGTCCAATCGTAAGACAAGATGAGAGCAGTCAGAAAGCCAGTCACTGAAATGGGAAAGAAAGCTCCCCATTATCCTATCAGCTTTTACAGAGAAAAGAGCAAGAGATAGAAAGATGCGTAAGAAGATCAAATAGCACGGAGTATACAGTAGGAAGGTATTAGGTAGGAAGTGGAAGGTAGTGAGGGGATGCACAGATGCATCTGGCGATGGATTACAGCTGAGCTTCGATGTCTGCAGGGGATCAGAAGAACTGGATGGGCAATTTAAGAAAAGATCATGAGAGGAACGTAGAATGAACATGAGACTTCTGACTTGCGCGCTTGATGTTAGTGACATAACAATGAAATCGGAGGTCAGGGAACAAAATAAAGCTCGGGGTGCCTGTTGGGTATTTGGATGATAATGAGGAGATAGTAGGATATAGAATCATAGGGAGAAGCCAAAGATTTGAGTTGTGAAATGGAAACAATTAGTTCAATCTATAGAATGAATATTCTCCAGGGAAAACATGAAGTAAAAGAAAAAAGACTGAGCAGAGGACAGAATTTTATTTTTTATTTTTGGCAGGCTCAGCCTGCCCTGAGGGCAGGGCTGGTGTGGCATATGGTGCCAGGGACCCCTGCCTAAGCCTGCCTAAGCAGGTGGTTTAGACCACTGAGCTATCTTGTTGGCCCCAAGAACAAAACTTTATTTATTTATTTATTTATTTATTTATTTATTTATTTATTTTGGCGGAACCGGGGATTGAACTCAGATCCTTGCATTTGCCAGTCAAACGCTTATCCTACTGAGCCATCTCCCCGGCCCAAAGCTTTAAAGGACAAAGAAAACTAAGATGAAACAGTCACGGGGAACAGTCCGACAAGAGAACGGAGACTAGAACGGTAATGAAGGCTGAGTTTGAAGAATAAAAAAGCAGCAACATTGCTAAATGTCGCAGAGAATAGACCCAGAGTACAGGCCTGGCGAGTGAGTGAGATGACCCGGGGCCGTGGGATCCTCATTGGACCCAGGCTGCAGGCCCAACATGGAACCCTTCAGCAGAACTCCCTGCAAAGAGGCTAGAGGCAAGACCCACCCAGCTGATTCAGGAGCAGAACATCTTGCCAGAGAGACACAAAGGATTCA